GCCTGCGCATGTTCCTGCGTGCGCGCGTGCAAGTGGGTAGTCTTGGGTATATATGCGTGCGTATACCGTGTGCGTAGATGTGCGTGTGGCTGCGTGCGCATATCTGCATGTGCATATTTGCACTCGTGCATTTGCGTGCGCATATTTGTGTTCGTGTGTGTGTGTGTGTGTGCACTCATGTGTTGCAAAGATGTTGTTGACATCCATGGGTTCGTGCCTTCCTTCCCTTTCTTTTTTCCTTGTTCCTTTCCTTCCCCTACCCTCCCCTCCCCTCCCCTTCCCTTCCCTTGCTTTTCCTTCGTTCCTTCCTTCCTCCTTTTGTGTGCGTGTGTGTGTGTGTGTGTGTGTGTGTGTGCGCACGCAAGTCGTCTCTCTCTCTCTCTCTCTCTCTCTCTCTCTCTCTCTATGATATGTATGGATACATATGTATGTATGCGCGTGTGTCAGGAGAATTGCAGCTGTCCCCCCGCGGCCAGCTTCGTCATTGTGTCGCAAGGCGTGTGGCAGTCTTTTGCAGACCAGCACGGGAATGGCGAGGAACTTCAGACGCTTGGATGAGTGAAGGTCGGGCCCTGCCCACAAAGCGGATCTTGATTTCTGCAAGCATCGCAAGCCCCCATTGTAATGGCGCTCAGGGCCATGGTGGAAGAACGGCGCACCGTTTGCTGGCGCGACGTTTTGAAGCTGATGTACACACCAGGTCTACCAGAGGCTCTTGCTGGAAGTTCAAAACTGCAAAGGACAAGTATGCGATTGCATGTACGATGTGCATAGCTTGTAAAGTATAACTCTATGAAGGCCAAGATCTCAACTTGCCTAGGTGGCAGTTCAGGGCTCCAAGACCTCCCTGACAATGCCCCAAGCATGCAAATTTCCCATGTACCAATGTGCAGGGAAAAAAGCTGATCCTCCGCCCGCGCCTCTTCGAGATCGTGGCAGGCCCTGAGCAACTCTCGGCAACACATCCTGAGGCGGGGATGTATGCATGTCATCAGACCAGGTACATATCCGGAATGCTTGAAACGATGCTGCAGGTGAAGAAGGCAGACGTGCTCGATGCCGTAAGCTGGTCCTCAGACTGCGAGGGCCAGTGCGTCCACTACAAACTGGATGGATATGTCGTTCGTGTCCCCGCGACCCAAGAAGCCTTCCAGATACAGGTGGAGGCGGTGCAGGAAGCCGTTGATGGTCTGGTTCCGAGCTGCTCCACTGACCTGGTGAAACACTGCATTGCACAGCTCCGACCCCTTAGCATGGGGGCGCTGAAGAGCTGTCTCCAGAAAATCATCCGCTTCCATGCCGTGGCTGTGGACTTCGGCGAGCCTATCCCATTGCCTGTGGCTGCTGCCACGGCCATCGCCCTCCTTTTCGCAAATCGCGGCGGCTTTTCCCCCGAGTTGCAGCTCTTCACTCGTGGCGCCACAGCCGCCTTCAAACGCCTTGCAGTAATCTTGCTGGAGGATGCTTGGGTGAAGGGAGAGGCCACCCCTTCCTGTCTAGCAGCACTTCTGGCCTTGGGCTTGGTGACCCAACGAATCGCCGACTACGAACCGCCACGAAGCTCCGTGGTGGCGGCGATGCGTCTGGCTGCCCGCGCCGCAACGTCAAACTGCCTCATCGCCTGGCGCAAAGACAAGGCTTCGAAACCTCTCGACCAGATAAACGTGTCACGGCAGCAGGCCAGTCTCTTCCAGCACTCCGCCAAGCTCCTCCGCCTGCTGCGCAGCTTTTCGGGAGACATGGCAATGTTTGACCAAGTCGCTGCCGCGAGCAGGGCGGGCAAGCTGCCCTTGCGACATGCGGCCAGGCGACCAGAGGCCGCTCGGCGTTCAAGAAACATTCGATGTCAACAAGTAGGCTTACTAGTCCTGTGTTCAGTTTCTCGTCAGCGGGTGCTTGCACTTTGGCTTTAAGCACAAGATGGAGGCCAAAGCAAATTGGATGGCTGTGACCCCGCGGCACCACATACGCCTAAGGCCTCGACGTGCGGCAGGTGCCAAATCATATGCCAAATCGGCTCTCGCCTAGGTCCCGTTTGCCCCGTGCACATTCCATAATGGACAATTATCTCCTAGATGCGGTAGGATGCGTCGGATGCTTTGGGGCTGTTGACGGTGTTGGACGAGTTTGTTTCGCGCATCCGTTCTAAGGGCATTCAATCGCATCTCCGCCAGTTCCCTGATTTTTTTGGGGTGCTTTGCAGGGCCAGGCGTCGCGAAAAGGGTGGTATGGTCGCCCACTTCTCGTGTGTGTGCGTGTGCGTGTGCGTGTGCGTGTGCGTGTGCGTGTGCGTGTGCGTGTGCGTGTGCGTGTGCGTGTGCGTGTGCGTGTGCGTGTGCGTGTGTGTGTGGGTGCGTGTGTGTGTGGGTGCGTGTGTGTGTGTGTGTGTGTGTGTGTGTGTGTGTGTGTGTGTGTGTGTGTGTGTGTGTGTGTGTGTGTGTGTGTGTGTGTGTGTGTGTGTGTGTGTGTGTGTGTGTGTGTGTGTGTGTGTGTGTGTGTGTGTGTGTGTGGGTGCGTGTGTGCGTGTGTGCGTGTGTGCGTGTGTGCGTGTGTGCGTGTGTGCGTGTGTGCGTGTGTGCGCGTGCGCGTGCGCGTG